TCTGGGAGGCCGGTCCAGGGGCGGCCTCTCTGGCCGCAGCTCCCGCGGGCTCTATGACACCGCACTGGCTCGCGGGACGGGGAGGGACCCATTGAGCGGGAGGAGACCATCTCGTGTGAACCTCTCGCGAGATGTCTCGCGAGAATTAGGAAGTACCGCGCCTGCGCGCTGCCATACTCCCTGGTGGCGGTGGCTTTCCAGCGTTGTGGTGCGTGAGGGGAGACCGCGTCTGTGGAGGCTACTGCGTACCCTGTGTCTCGTCGCCATGAGCAGCACTTTAGCAAAGATTGCGGAGATCGAAGCCGAGGTAACGGGCACAGTTGGCGGTTCACTCCCAGCCCAGGCATCCCTTCGTCCGAAGTATAACTCCTGTACTCTTCCTTCAGTAGCGTCAAAACCCAGCCCGTTTCCCCGACTGCACTCAGCCAGGCCTCACTTCTTGATCGTCCTCTCCCGGGCCGGCTTTTCCCTGTTCCACTCAACTGGGGAGTCCTCCCTGCTCGCGTGGCGTTGTTCCTTGACTGCCCATGTTCCGCTCCTTGGGCCCTTGGTCGTAGTCCCTTTCCAGTGTTTTGACTTTCGCACTGACAAGTTTCTCAGTTTTCTTTTTCTCTGGTTGACTGTCATCCCATGCTCTGATCCTGACCCACTCACGTATTTCAGCATATTTCCTAATCATTACTGCACTTCCCACCCCCAAATCTTTGAGTACTCTAATGATTTCCTTATTCACCCTATTGCTTTCCGCAGTAGGATTTGGAAGTAAATTGACGTGTTTTGGACGTATTTAATTCCACCTGGATATTGCGTGACTCTATTGTTTGAGGCGGGCGGGACTTTCACAGTGAGCTCCATCTTCATCTCCAGTCCTCTCTTTTGAAATAGCATTTCATTAAGTCATTGTTTCCCAGGCTGGGCTCAAACTTTCCCAGTGCCCCTCCCATTGCACTGTTAAAGTTTACAGGCGTGTGCCGTAACGCTGTTTTTTGAGACGAGATCTCACTATGTAGTTCTGGTAAACTCACCACTCTCCTGCCTCAGCCTTCTGAATCCTGGCATTGCAGATGTGCACTACCATGCCCCCGTTGCTCACAGCTTTTTGAAGCCTGAAGAACAGTGAGCCTGTTACAGATGGGCATACCACGTGCAAGCAGTGGAAAAGGAATCAGCAGATGAATTTTAGTCTGGTTTGTGGTTGCTAGGTGGAATGACCCCGATCTTTTCTCGTTTGGCCTCATTTGCTTCTGGATGATGGAGAGAATTAATTTTTACCCTATTTTTTAGATATTTAAGATAGATATACGGCCATTATTGGGATCTAGAAAAAAATCATTCTCTTAAACTGCGGGTAACATTCTGGATGTTTAACCCCATGGGAATCGCTTCTGATTTATGGCTGCTGTTCCTCTCTTATAGATGGCACGGACTCAGAAGAACAAGGCCACAGCCCATCACCTAGGGCTGCTTAAGGCTCGCCTTGCTAAGCTTCGTAGAGAACTCATTACACCAAAAGGTGGTGGTGGTGGTGGGCCAGGAGAAGGTTCGTGATTTTCAATATTTTTGGGTACAGTTTCTATCAAAATAATACATATATGTGTTTTTTAAATAATTGAAATTTTTTCTATCAGAACAGATTTATATTTTCTAAATTATTTTCCCCCCTAATCCTGAAAGTCAAACCCCAGTCTTGAGCATACTAGGCAAGTGCTTTTCCATAGTTACAGCCCTTCCTCCTAAGCCTGAATTCTTCAATTATGTTTATTTTGTTTTACTCTGCTGGTTCAGAGGCAAATGAATGTGATCTAAGTAAATTACGGTTTTATCTTTTTTTTTTTTTTTTTTTTTTTTTTTTTTTTT